TTTAGCCATTTCTTTTTTTTTTATACCTCTTTGGAAACGCTCTGGTGTCATTGTATCAACTGCTATGACACAGATCTCTGTATTTAATATGACACTAAAGTCAGAGGCGTAACTAGTGACCTCAGGGCCCTGGTGCAAGAATCCATGAGGAATCCACTTTCCTTTTTTTCCCCCAAAAAAGGAAAATTAGACAAAAAAAACCCCAAACACTCTCCTCTTCCATGTCTCCAGCTCCCCATTATCTCCCCCTTCATGTCCCCATTAACTCCTCCTTCATTACCCCAGCTCTCCTCTTCCATGTCCCTAGTTTCCCCCTATCTCCCCCTTCACGTCCCCAGCTTTCAGCTGCCTGACCCCACACTCTCCTCTCACATGTCCCCTTCATATTCTCAGCTCTATATATCTCCCCCTTCATGTCCGCAGTAGGCTTCTCATACCCAGGGAGTTGGAGCTTTCGAAAGCACACAGGCAGCTCTATGGTTGGCAGCCGTTCTGTGTGATGAGGGGGCGGGAATAGTCCCGCTTTCCACTTATTGGCTGCTGCGCTGGCTCGATCATACTTCATGCTGCGCCCGGCCGGAACAAGGTGAGGGGAGCAGCGTGAAGCGCGAAGGACACAGAACAGGAGGAAGAGACAGCGGTACTGATATTAGCAGTTACTGGGATATTAAATATCCTGGTAATCAGAGGTTACTAGGGGCCCCCGTCCTCCTGTTCTGGGCCCCTTCTAAGTGGCGGAACTCCAGGCCCGGTCACAGCTGCGGCCTCTGCGACCCTGGTAGTTCCGCCACTGACTAAAATAGCTGATGTGTTGTCTTTAATATCTTTCAAACTATGGGAAGGATAAGGGTATTTAAAGGCTTCAGGCATCACTTTTCACATGACCTAATTCCTCTGAATTAAAATGCTGTGACATTGAATGTAAATACTAAACATTATGTGGTATTTGGGGAGATTAGCACATATGGTGAGCACTCAAGGACCAGTCTATGAGCCGTTTAACAGAAAAAAAGGACAATCTTTTATTTCTTCAAAGGCAGACAACCAAGGAAGTTCAACATAAAATAGCTTTCTTCAGCAGTACAACATAGAGTATACTCGGAAAACAGTCTCACTATTCTCAGGTTGTCCTGTTCAGTCAGTGTCCCAGTCCCAGGACTTTACTGTATTCCTCAGCAAAACTCTTCAGGAATATTCTGTACCATTGAGCAACTTTCAGCAGCTTTTGATTCAACACACACACCTTGTGTGCCTGGCTCTCTCAGCCTCTCCATACCTTCCAGCCTCCCAGGCTGTTCCTCAAGTGCCTGCAGCACACCAGCTTGGCCCTCATGTTCCTCCAGCATGCACCACCACAACTTGCTTGGCCCTTGTGTGCCTTCAGCACACACCATACCAGCCCTTCCCTTGAGCTCTGGTCTGAGCTCTTAATGAGGCTGCTCTCAGCCACCTGATTACCTGCAACACCTGACCTCAGGACTGGAGATTTCATCCCACCCAGTTTCTTCCCTGCAGAACTATTTGCATTCTGGAACCTCTCAGCCCCTCTGGCTGAGAGTCCTGGGTGATCGTGTTGCCAGCATACTCCGTGCCATTTCCACGCACTGCCACAATTAGAATGTAATTATGAGATTTTAAAGTAAAGGTGAGAATGCTTTGGTAACCAAGTGTGACCTTAGTCAAAGAAAATTGAGAACCGCTGGTTTAGAAACTGCAAGCAAATATTAAAAAACAACCTTTACTTAATTTATTATTTTTCATGAAAAATATTTTACATTTATTTTAAAATAGTTGTAACTGCCCAAAATCTATATTATACTCTTGCAATTAGCTGCACAAGGCAGATAAATCAGCCAAGGAGTGGGAGGTATTGTAAGCCAATTAGGCTCTGATGTATTATTTTAAAGCTAAACTTCAACCAGGAAGAATACAATCGTATCAGCAAGGTACTTACCTACCTTGTGCCAAAACAATCTCCATTTCTTTGTACAGTTCTTTTTTATTCTGGGTATTTTCCCCCACACAAGTCCCGTATGCCCCTTATTTCTTGTACCTTCCATGTTGTGCAACTGGGCACTTCTGTTTTCTCCCTACGGAGAAATGGCTCCCAGTGACATGTTTATTGTGGACAGGTATGACTGCACAGCATGAGGTCATGTCCCACCCCATTCATTAATTGCAATATGTAGCGGGGAAAGCACTGAGCTTCACCCATGTACACACACCATATAAGAGCACTACTATGATGCAGAAACTGCACAGACCCCAGCACCTAGGAAATGTAGATATTTTAAAAAGGAGTGGACAATGTCAAACAAAATAAAAACATACGATTATTTAAAAGTAAGCCATCAACTGTTTACAATGGTTTTGATATGTATGGAGAAAGGGAGCTTGTACTGCAAAGTATGCAGCATCCTAGAGTTCAGCTCCTACATTTTTTAAATGATGAATCCAAATCAAACAAATGTACTGTACATTGCACAGCAACGTATTTCTTTACATTTTCACCCAAACCCATGTTTCTGAACAGCTCCAACTCTCTTAGCTCTGCTTCCCTTAATTTCCTACTGAGTTCAAGTTCACAAGGAACAGCTCAGTCTCCAGCATCTGTCTATCTACTAGGTGGCAGAAGGGATATGGGAGGAGTGGGGAGCAGGGGAATTGCTTGCCTTGCTGCGTCTGTGGAGACACATACAGCTTACTATCACACACAAGGGTGGCTCCATAGAACCCTGCAAGGGAAAGGTGGCAACATAGAAACAGGTTTCAGGGTCAGTGTTCATGGTACCAGCTGATTCTGAAGGAAAGTAAAACTTTAAAAAAAACAAGGAGCAGCATCCTCTGTATGTGATTCAATCAGCATTTGAAGTAGCTTAACAATCTCCTGACTTTAATATCACTTTAAGAATTCATCCAAGATGTTTTCAGGCACTGAAGTCTGTAGGGAAAGTCTTTAGGCAACTTGGAGAAGGAAATAAGCAGAGTGACTTCTCATTGGTTGTACAATGGGCAGGCAATTGACACAGGAAGCACAAAGATATGAAATGTAGTAGGGTTGTGAAAAAGATTGAATTACAAACATTTCAGCAAGTAAACAGTTCATCGTCATATAAGTAATCCATACCTGTTTGGATTGAGTCTCTTTTAAATATAATATTCATAGCTAGTTTCAGTTAATAACAAGTTACAGATTGTAATGTTTTATTATGGCAATATACAGTATCTGTCCAATTACAATAATCTATTTTGTACCCTTCAGGTATATATAACACACATACAAAAGTGAATTTGCCTACATTCATATAGAGCGTATTAAAAAGAATAGCGTACATGGCAGAATATTAATATCATTTCTGGATCACAGTAATGATGAACATTTGGGAGGAGCCATATAACAAGGTAGCTTTGGTGATATTGCTAGGAAAGGGGGAGGTCAAGTGCAAAGGTTTATAAAGCATGGAAGAGCTTAGAAAAATCAGAGAAAGGAAGCAGAATACAGGGATGCTGAAAGGACTAAAACTACATTGGTGGTGACAAGAAAGCATTGCCCTCTATATAATATGGGACTGACAACAAACTAAAGGCATTCATTTGTTTGATGGTAATCTATACCCTTGAGTTATCAAAGAGAACAAACTCAGAACACCCAGAAACAATAGTTTCAAAGCAAATTTTATACCAAAACTAACATAATTGTATATAAAAATAAGATTGTTCTTTGCAAAAGAGTTGACATTCCAGCAGATGAATAATTATATCACAAATTTAAGGAAGACTCCAGTTTCTGCTTTGGTGGAAATTCAGGATTACCAATCTCAATGGATCATCTCTGGATTGCATTTGCCTTACTAATGCTCGTGATACCTACAGGTAAGTTTATCTAAATACATTCAGCATAAAAAGACAGATAGAAAGAAAAATAATTTATATAGAAAATAATCAAACAAAATAGTAACTCATAGCTTTTTATTTTTAAGAGAATAGATTTTCAGTTGATATAAACCCTGACTGGATGATATTTATCTGTAAAAAATAAGTCAAGGCAACTGGACTTGCTGTATGTTTCTTGAAGACGTTTCACTAGTCTTCAAGAAATATACAGTAAGTCCTGTTGCCTTGACTTATTTTTTACAGATATACCATGACCTGGATGAATGAGAACCTTCACAGACTGGATGATATTTAGTTTGCTAAAGCATTGTGTATTTTAAACAGTTGCCTATTGTTTCATAAAATGCTATGTTTACCTTTTTTTCATCCTTGTTTTACATCATAGTACTGCTGCTTTCCTTCAGACTTTTTCATATGCTTCCTATCTTCACACACTTGCTCCTGCATCAGTTGTAAGCAGGGCCGTAGATAATTTTTTTTCCTGGGGGGGGGTTCAGCTTCCTCAAATTATAAGATATCTCCTCCCCCCTTTCAGCTCACACTCCGTGTCCTGTGATCTTCGTTCACAGCGCGGTGTCCTGCACACAGTCCCCCCCTGGCTCAGGCTGATGTCGGCTGGTGATGGGGTGGGGCAGCCCTGCTCTGTGTTCAGCCTGGCCGCATCACCTAAATGTTCCTTCCTAGGCTCACTAGATATTTGTAGGACATCCAGACAAGTAATGAACATAACTAATGGTTCCTAGGCAAGTTATAACATTGCAAACTTACAACTACTCCTTCATGGTCAAGCTGAGAACTTTTGGGACATCGTAAATAAAGTGTTCACTGTAAATGTCAGGTTCACCTAAATTTAAAAAAACTCTGAAAAGGTTTATGCAATCTAAAAATATAGCTCAGGATGCAGCATTTAGCAATTAAGTATGTATGCACAATCAAGTATGCATCAAATATGCATGTTATTAATGTCTGGTAAACTACTATAAAATAAAAAAAAGTTTAATAAACAATTATTTGTATTATTTGTGACTTTAACTAATTTTCTCAACATTGGTTTCATCCCTTGAGTGCAAGAGTCTCATAAAACATTGACCGAAAAATCAACCTTGATGGAACTCTCACAACACTTGATGAATGGTTATGACAAATCAGTGAGGCCTGTGAAGGACTGGAGAAAACCTACTACAGTGTACATAAAGATTGCCATATATGCCATTCTTGGAGTGGTAAGCTATTGATGTAGTATCCTTTTTTGTGTGATAGACATGTATATTGCTATGTATAGTTAGTTGATCCTCTTGAAATGACAAGTGGCAGAAAAAAATTGTTACTCTAGAAGTATGATACATGTGCAGCTAAAATTTGTCAAAATCAATACTTTACTTTAAATATACACATTTTTGCTGTTCACAGCAGTAGAATAGGTAGTATAGAAGTAATTTTTTTACAGTACATAAAATAAGTTTATAATCTGCTGTTACCCAGGAAACAATGAAACTGTGCATAATCATAAAGTCCACAGATACATTTATTAAGGTTCTCACATGATTCCTGAGTGGGGCTGCAGCATCTTGCCATATAATTCTCTGATGTGCAACCTACCTCTCATGCATTTGTTCATCTCTGATTAGGATACTGGCAGACACAGTAATTAGGATAGCTATACTGTATCACCTAAGCATAGTTTTTATGTATGGCTAAAATGTATTTTTTTGACACTAGATTAACATATCATTAATTAAAATAAAGAAATTGATGATTTTTTTTGGTCAGATTTGTTTGACCATAATTAACCCCCATGGCTGTACTAAAAAGGTTACCAAATGCCTCCTGGGTGCATATTAAATCAGGCAGAATTTTCAAATTCCAACCACTAGTTATAAATTGCAAAAAATGGTGGTGGTAGGTGGCTTTGTTCCATTTTTGGTAATTTTTGCAATTGAAAGCTGGTTGTAAGCGGTTGAAACTGCATGAAAATTTCTATGTGTATGGCCAGTATTAAGCTGTTTGTTAGGACAAAGTTACAGTGGAATCTATAGCCTATGGGCCCCATATCAGATGCATGGCCTTTTGTGGCAGCAGTTGTTTCATTCTGCAGATACCATGTGAGAGCAGCTAAATTAAATTTTCCATATTACCACAACCCATTCAGTCACAGCCGTTAGTAGTGCCTCATAAAAGATTGTGACAAGGTTATTTTGCAGAGTCCCCTTATAGTCAAAGAGCTGATACCTTATATTGCAGGTATCTAATGGTTTGCAGGAAATATATGGGCATTTCACATATGCCCTGCTGGGGACTGTGATCCAGGAATGTGCCAGCTAGGTGGTGCAGATTTTGAAAGAACCGCTCTATACTTTGTTACTTATCATATCCATTTTTACTGTCTAAGATTTAAGATCTTCATATAATAAAAAGCAAACGTAATTACATATTTTCCAGGATGAGAAAAATCAATTGGTGAAATCATACATTTGGTACAATCAGGTAATATTTGCACCACTCAAACTTTCTGTTAGTTTTCTGATTTACTGTTAACATAGAAGGAAATTGAATGTGCCTATTAGCACAAAATAAGAGTAAAGATGCCCACAAACATTAGATGACGGCCTCATATCAGAGGACAATCTAATGTCTAAATCTAAATCGCAGCCTCCAACAGACACGCATGCCTTTTTTTAGTAGAGAAATGTCCAAGTTCTGTAATATATATTCTATAAAATCTCTAGGATAAAACAATGCTAGGACTGTCTGTATGCTTCTTTCTCCTCCCTACCATGAATGATGATGCAAGCCACTAATTTCTATTTAGGACAGTAAGTAAACCAACAGGTTACAAAAACTTGTCTGATCTTTAATGGTATATTATTTACTTTACAATAAGTAATTGCTTTCTGTGTGCTCCTCCCACCTCTCTCTTCCATTAAAAACCCTCAGCAACCCAGCATTTACTGAAACAAAGGACATATTTGCAATTCTGACCTTTCTCTGGTGTCTATTGCAAAGTATACATCAAATGGGACCTTTGCTTCTAATCATTTGTTCAAATAAACTATTTTTTAGCTTATTTATAAGGAAATTACAAAGAGCAATACACATTTCCAAGATCAGTAACCAACAGAAGCTAACAAGATCATATATCTTATAACAGGCATACAGTTATCAGATCATTTAATAGATCATTTTAATTAGTTGACATGTTTGCTAAGTTTTATTGAATACGCTGGATTCTTTTCAAAGCAGAGTAAATAGTTGCAAAGATCCATTAACCTTTAGTGTGATCACATTGCATGTATATTAGTGAAAGAACTTTCATTTTTAATTGGGCTACTTTTTTGTTTATTGATAGCGGGGCATATTAATCAAGATAAGCAGCAACAGCAATAGAGTACACTAACCTTAGCAAGCACTCAGAGACTTTCATTAGATCACCCATTTGCTACTAAATTCTAATTGGTTGCCATAGGTTACTGCACAGCTTTGTTTCTGGTACTATATTAGTAAAATAAATCTTTACTAAGGATCAATGGATGTTGCCATAGCTGACCCCCTCCTTATGAAAATTCTTGTTCCCTGGCTGTCCAAATGTCACTGACCTGGAACAAGTATACAAATCCGGAGCTGTAACTTTCCTGATCTTAATACCTAATCCTCACAAAGCCAAGCCAGCAGCCTTTCAGAAGGAGTTCAGCAATGGTAGGTCACATATTTCTCCCACTACATGTTTCCTTTAAAGCGATCCTATCAGATCTTTAAACATTTTAAATCATCAGGTCCCTGCAACTGAAAATAGAGAATGCTCACCTCACGGGTGGCCTTTTTCTCTTACCTCCCCTCTGGTGAAGTACAGCAAGCTCTGAAATCCTCCACCACATTCAACAGTTCTGGAAGGGTTTGATTCCTGTGTTCCTGCCATATGATGTTATTTTTCTCTGACCCCTACATTACCATAGAAATCAGCAGTGATGTAGGGCTTGGAGGAAAGAATGACACCATTCAGCAGAGGGCACAAAGCATCTGTTACTGTCAAAGTGTTAGTTGTTAGTGTATATATGTTGTCTTCAGTTGCAAGGGTCTGATGGGTTTGCATTTTTAGAAATATGATGTGGTTCCTTTCAATAATGGCATGTGACTGCTGTCAAAATAAATTTTTCCTTTTGTACAGTCTTGGGTGGATGAGTTTCTTCAGTGGGATCCAAGTGAGTTTGACAATGTTACTCGTATTTCCATTCCCACACAATCGATCTGGCTTCCAGACATTATGATTGAAGAAGCGTAAGTATGGCTACTTACCTTGTGTAATGAGATGGCATGGTGTGATAGTGTGAAAAAGTAGAAATTAGTCTAAATGGTATTTTATATATACTGTTAAGGGATAATATTAGTAGACATGCGTTGCAGAAGACATATAGAGGGGCTGGAAGTTTCACACCCCAGGTTTCAAATGTAAGAAAAAAAAAGGGTATTTCCACAGTGGGGTGTGCGAGGACCCAGAGGGGAAAAAAAAAGGGGGCTAAAAATAGTCATAAATGAAAATCATAAAAGGTGATAAAAATGAGTGAAAAAAATAAAAAAAATAAATAAATAAATATATATATATGTGAATATGTGAAAATATATAAGTGTATATTAAAGTGATACTGTGAGTGAAGCAATGCTGAATAGAAGATCAAAAAATATACTAAACCCGAATCAGGACATATACATAAGAAAAAGTGAGATACAAATAGGTGAATGAACTCATATATGAATGTGAAAAAAATTTGGCTTTCTAAGAAGCCAAGATTTGTGTTTAAGGGGAGGTTGGATGTTGCAGATCACTAGGGACATAAATTAATCAGAGATTCCAAGTTTGAGAAGGTGTAATCAGACAGAAATTTACAATGTAACAACTCCTATAGGAGCCAAAACAAAAATACCTCTTGCCGTGTGTGGTGTTGCTGTTTCTTTCCCAGACATCTGTACAGCTGGCCGCAATCGCGGTCATTTTAAGTGCTGGGCTCCGAACGTCATGTGATGCCGAACCGCCCCTAAGGGCGGGGGCTAATCAACTAGACATGAGACGTAGAAAGGGAAACAAGCCATAAAGTATAGTAATTGCTAGCAGTTGGTATAGTCTCAATCTTCCAAACAAAGTACATATATATGCAGCAGAGAAGAGAGCCAACAGGCCACATATATGTATATATGTATACCCAAATTAAAATGCTGAGCAGCTAGGCCTTTGCTACGTCTCCACGATCCCTCCATATAGAAGTGCGACTATGGCAGTATCAGGCCCGACAGACATCCCAGGTTGTAAAAATGCATATTGAAGCTAGTAATCAATGAATGTTTAATAATAATATAATCATCAGAGTAAAGGACATTTATAATGTATCGAAAATACTTATTATATACTGTGTGTAAGTACTATTCTCAGTAAAATGCAGTTTCATAATCCAGGAGATATAGGATGTGCACACATATATACATACATGTATACATATATACATCCTTGTAGTGGAGAGAGGACACAAATCCCATAAGAATTGCTTTTGTGATTTCGGAGCATGTGTACAGCTTGAACAGCATCTTTAGATTAACAAGGTTTATACTACATATCATTTAAGAAAAGACAATAGATATATACATTGTATCAACTTATATCTCAAAATTCTACAATTAGATATGTAAGATCGGAAAAGTGAATGCGGATATATATAAGAATTTTTTAAAATCTATATGTACATACATGAATCATAATAGTTTCAAAGAATTCTACTAGCATGTGTATTGCTTATAGCGTCAAAACATAAGAGGTAGTAATGCGGATAGAAGCACATATATACCATTACATTATTTCATTATTATATTATTATTATAATTATATTATTTAATTATTATTATATTTGATTTTATTTTAATTCTAGATAGATCATACTAGACTTAGAGGTAGTGAAGTTCTGCTAAAGGAACATATGTATGGTAATTAATTATTCCACGTGAAAGTATATATGGATAAAAATAGATGAAAAAATAGATGAAAAATAGATATAAGTATAAAGTCTAGTATGCCGGCTGCCTGTTTTTCCTGAAGACTACAGGGTGCTGTCTCCGACGCGATCGAGATTAATGTATGTAAAGCATGATTTTACTTGTGAGACTAAAGTGCAGTTCTCTGATCCTAATTCTATTATATGTGGGCTTATTACTCTTATTCTAGGACACATATCTCCCATAGAATTGTCTCTCTCCCCTGAAGAAGCCCTTTCGGGGCGAAACATGTAGGGACTTACAGGAGCGTTTATACCATTCTGATAACAAACAACCATATACATCGTAACTGCACGGTATCGTCACCATTCGGTGAACCTGCATTTGTAAAAGCATTTTTATTGATGATTTTGTATTCCGTTTTTTATCTTAAATAATGTATACAACAATTTATTGAATAAATGCACTTCTAAGATTTTTATACACGAGGTCTGGACTTGTTTCTTAAAAGCCCCCTTTTTTTATTTTCCCCTCTGGGTGCTCGCACACCCCACTGTGGAAATACCCTTTTTTTTCTTACATTTTATATATACTGTATACATATATATATTCAAGGTAAAAATGCCAATAGAATCTGTATAATACACCACAGCTATTAAAGCCTATTTCAAACTGACACTTTTATATTTTGGCAGATGTTGTAGAGTTAAAGTGTAACTTTTGTTTTAGTTTTGGATGGAGTAGGGAAGTTTTAAAACTCCTGTCAGGTTTTACTCCCAACCGGGGCTCCGTTGGAAAGATTCCTTCACTTCCTGTCTAGTAAAAAAGGTTGCTCCCAGGACAGAAAATGAGGGAAAGCTTGCTAACAGCAAAACAGAGAGTAATAAATGTTTTTTTTTTAAAGTAGGGGAACACTAAAACCCCTGTCAGCTTTTTATTGTTGTCAGCTTTCCTGGTTCAGACTTTCCCTGAATGTATTTACCACAATGGTAAACACAACATGAGTGGTAGGAAGACCAGATGGTGGACAGGAACACCTAACTCTCCAATCTGGCAAGCTGAGACCCCCCCCCCCCCCCTCCCCAATGTTCTCCACCTACAATGCAAATGTAGTAGGTGGTTAGCACCTACCACATATAGGGTTAGAGCCTCAGTTAGGTTTTGCATGCTGTCTGTGTGTCTGGTAGGGAAATTAAATCTCTCTTTGACCTTATGAATCATTGTCACTGGGCATTTTTTGAGTTGTCACCAGAGCAGAAATAGAGAGGACACCTTTTCCAGTGAAAATTGTCAAAGAGGGAAATTTCCTCACTGTTGAGAGATATCATCACACTTTGGAGAGATATCATCTCATATCATCTCTAAAATTACAACAAAAGTGACAGGAGTTTAGCCCTTTCCCTACTCTTTCCAAAACGTATTTTATAAAAAGCTTGGTTTTAGATATGCTTAAAATGCCTAAAGCAATATCTGGTAACAGTTTAGACTGTTTGGACAATGTGAATATTGTATCTGGTACATGTCTTTTTTTTTAATTAAGCTCCAAGGATAAAAACAGAGAGCACTATAAGTCTAATTTAAAACTCTGTGGAGTTCTACAGAGTAGACAGACAATGTCTGTAAATTTGTAGGTTAGATTTTCAGTAATACTTGCATTAACAAACCCAGAATAGATTTTTTATTAATGGTATTAAAATCCATTAATTATGTCAGTGGCCATAACTAATTGACGCTACATAATTACATACTATATATGGATGCATCCTCATCTCCCTCAGCTCCCAGATGTTTTGTAGGCTAAAATGACAAGTTTCATTAGAAGGAGCACTACGTCTGGTGAAGTGTAGTGTCTTGTATGATCATAGTTTGTAATAACTTTCTATGACAACCTTTGCAGGTAAATGGTTTGATTGTGGTCCACCAAGCAAACAACAGAGACATTGACTTCTATGGAACTATGTGAGATTGCAACCCCATTGTGTTATGCCACATATGAATTTTAAATAGAAGTTATATTTGTATCTCACCTTGAAACTGCTTACATGGAATATGATCAGATCCAGAAAATAAAACCATCTTGAACAGTTTAGGAGCCCTGGTGTTATGCTGTGGAACTGGCCAAGGTGCTGAAATTGCAGTGATCAGGCATAGGAATAAAACCTCCAAGTTGTGAAATGTTGATTCAATGCTAGTACTCCCTAGTAATACTAAATGCAATCTTAAAACTCACTAAACATTTGGATTTCCCATCTGTACACACACAACTCTCTACAATCAATATAACAAACATGCAAAAATTGTACCAATATCTACAATCAAAATTATTTGAACCAATATGCAAACAAGGGTGGGTATTCCTATAATAAAATATCTTTGCAATGTACCAATAAAGAAATATACCAATCGTCAAGTGTTTCATTTATCTTTTCCAAAGCATCCTCATTGAATGTGCTTCATATAGACAAACGTTGTCTGTTGAGCATTTTCATCATAATTTTATAGCTGATAATC